ATGGCATCATTACCGCAGTTCGATAAACAAAAAGTGCAAGAATCCTCATATAATGAGTAAAATAGGCCAACGGATGTACATATGAGAAAATGTTCATGTGGATGAAGAGCAGAAAAAAAGGCGGCTTAATTTCAAAAGCCCGTAGGGTGAATAGACACTGACGGATTCCCGACCATTGAAATGAACATGATCCCATGTCCCCCCTCCCCTCCCCTATAGGTCCAGCCCGTGGGGGCAGAATAAGCACGGGACGTAGTTGTGTCCCGCACTCCGCGCATTTTTCGAGATCACTGCAAGGTATGAGTATTGCCCTCGTAATCATAAGACCATATTTTAAGACATAGGTATCTCATTATAATCTCAAAAGGGGATTGCTTATCATTTGATAATCCATAGGTAGGCACGTCCTTTAAGATGGGTTCTAATGATGTGTCAGTTTAAAAAAATATCTGGTTTTCAGTTTTTCACAAGGTTCCCCCTTCGTAGAGGTTGATGAGCGAGTGCCGGACCACATGTCGAAGTCGCCAGAATGAATTGCGTACTGTGCAATGAGGTAGGCACAAGTTTCCAAGGATCCGCCCTCCTGAATGGAGTTTGTCATATGAGTCAAATCGAATTGTATCATTCGTTTGCTCTTAGCTGAGGCGAGGGTTTGTCAATAAAACGTGAATTAGTATAAGCAGTCACATTTGGGAGGACCAAGTACACACACACAGGGGTGGATGTGTTTACCTTTACATCTGTCATGAGGGGTTTTTTCAAGAAGCCGCTTCGACGTACTGATAAACGTCCAAATGGTCAGTCAAAGGAAAAGAATGCGGAGCATGCGTTTTAATTTGTATGCAGCGGTACGGCCTGAGGCCGAGTACAAAGGACAGTCAAGCCCACGCTGCACATAGTACGGAATGCCGACAAAGAAAAGGGACGCCGGGGTTGCCATTTCTGGCTTATTAGGCATCGTCAGCCAGCCATGCGCAACCTCAGGCCTCCAAAGCCGGGATTGCTTTGTTCACTGAGCGTTCTAACTCGACACTCTACATTTGAGTGGCTTGCCCGTTGTCCAAGTAGTTGTGATTGGGAATGCCAATTGTGGTGGAAAATTGCGTTCACGGATCAGGCTACGGACAAGCCCTCCCTCTGTGTCTAGAACCATTTAAAACGGTCTTATAGGAACTACTTGACATGGTTGAGCGTCTGGCGCCCTACTACTGAGCAACGGAGTCACTGTCCTGTCGCTTCTGATCGGGATTATTAACAATGGTAGGAGGACGTTTACTGATCACGTTGTGGGACATGCTCGTCCTTCTGTGCCTTGGGGGTTACATTTAGAGCCACGTAGGCAGTCACAAAGCGACCAGGGCAACGATCGGGTGAAGGACCCCTAACACACACACACACACACACACACACACACACACACACACACACACACACACACACACACACACACACACGACAGTTCGACCGTCGATTTCGACGATGTCCACCGTGTGCCCCACAGACTGCATTGTGGGAGCAGGGACGGTGACTTACGCAGGGGTTTATAGTGCCAGTAGACTTGCGTAGCATCTACCTACACTCTCTCCTCCTCCCCCGCCTGGGCCCGGTGTCAAGACAGAGTCAAGAAGACCGGAGACGAGGGAGGCCGCAGGTGGATGGCTCGGACGGATCCTCGCCTTGGCGATCCACTCCACACCCCCTGGTCCACACACAAATGACCAGGATTTTGACCACAATGCAATGGGGTGGTGGCAGTGGTCCAGTTGTACGACGACTGCCGACAACAGGGTCTGCCAGCGCACCCCGCAAGTGTTGGCATTTGTTATTGCGCACAGATAACGCCTGCCAGAGTACGATGTGGCCCCCGTGTTGGTCCAGCACATCTAACACGTGGCCCGTTCTGAGGGCACACACACACACACACACACAAACACACACACGACTAGCCAAATGTGCCTGTCTTACCGGAAAGGTGGTAATAGGGGTTTTACGTGCGGGGCCCATGTATACATAGAGGAATGGCAAAATAAATAGACAGTGCGTGACCAATCTCAAGAAATGTTTGCCAAAATTCTGGAATGCGTTTCTGATTAGGAAGGATTACTTAGGTGGGGTTGTTAGACTAATTAGCATGCAGCATAACCCTATGATATTTCGGACTTGCCAGGATGTCGGCTTTTGAATGCACTTCTTTTTGACCTGGTGCTGAAACCACACTCGGCAAAAAATGACTATTTATGTAGCATGCATTTTTCCTATTGATTTTCGATGGTCTTATAAGTTCAAATATATTTTACAGAAAAAATGCACAAAAATGTGCTTTCCTTAGCTGTTTTGGTAGGAAATCAAATGGTCTTCATATTTTATTCTCAAGAAAAGTGCATATTTAGGTTTTAAAAAAGTTTTCCAATGCCCAAATAATTTTCAGCCTAATCAGCCATTGCATCAGCGTTTAGGAATTTCACTCTACAAGTTGCGTGCTTTCCACGTGAGGAAAATCATATATTCCTCTATGCCTTTAAGAAGATACCACATAGAATTAATGATTTTTTGTAATGGATCCGGACTGTGTTGTACTTTAATAAGGGGCATGACTAAAAGGACATGTACGGTCTTGCATGCACGGACATCGCAAGGTCTTAAAAATCTCATAATTAGAAACTTTTTAAAACCTAAATATACACTTTCTTCGGGCATAAAATATGAAGACAATGTGATTTCCTACCAAATGAGTGAAAGAAAACATATTTTTGTGCATGATTTCTGTAAAATATATCTGAACTTATAAGACCATTGAAAATCAATAGGAAAAATGCATTCTACATAAGTAGTCATTTTTTTCCGAGTGTGGTTACAGCAGCAGGTCCAAAAAGGTGCATTTAAAAGCCGACATCCGAAAAAGTCCGAAATGTTATAGGGTTATGCTACCTGATAATTAGTATAATAACCCCACCTAAGTAATCCTTCCTAATCGGAAACGCATTCCAGAATTTTGGCCAACATTTCATGAGATCGGTCACGCACTGTAGGTTATTGGTAAATTCATTTTTTGGGCGGAAAACTTTTAATTCATTGACGTATTTATAGCAACCGAAATCAAGCAGGAAATTTAAAAAAAATAAACATTAAGTGTCAACAACGATCGCTTCTCGACTCTCTAAGCTGAGGCCATTGTGGCTAATCCACCAGACCATCTACACCGGATGGCGCAGCCTTGTACGATGAAACATCAAATCGACCTAATCGTATCGGACTAAAACCCACTTAAATAAGCATAGTAAGTATTCTTTGCACGCCAGAGATGCTCGGGATCCTTCACGCGATCCTTACCACGATCAGTATTGATACTAAAAGAAATTATGACAAAGACAAGGGAAACTGGGACGACCATTTCTGGCATATGGTTCGTCGTCACGGCGTCGCCGTACGGAGGCAAATTATGAGCCCTCTGTCACGGAGCCTAGTACAGTTGCGAACATAACAAATAGCTTGATAATTAGGGAGATTGTTCTAGATACAAGTGGTCGAGTACACATTAACTATGAGAGGGAATAACGTCAACCCTTAGGCCGCGGCTCGCTCGATGAGACTCAGCCACTTATCCTACGTGACAACCGCGTGAGGAGCGCCCTGTCTGAGTCACGCTTATTCGTCCCTCACTTTGTCAATAAACGCAACGATCTCGTCCTCAATTCAGCGCCCCCATTTGGCCTGGACGGCGTAATTAGTCACGCCGACGCCTCGTCCCCATTGCCAATTGACTGAGTCAGCAGCTCTCCAATTATCAGCAGCATCAACAACAGGGATGAAAGAGGGGCCGCTACTGACCAGGGTTTGGCGACCAAGTCATCATCGCACCACGTGCCTACGATACATACGAAGTTGCTAATGTGTAGTTATGTGGGCAGTCACACCACCCTCCAGAGAAGTATTCATCCACATCCATTGGGCCGGCAAAGCCTTAACGCTGCGTAGGCCGAGAGAGAGATTGTTTCGGCTTATTTACCGACTATGAGTCCATAAGCTGCTCACATTGTCGTCGATCATTGCGAACAATTCGACCTCATCGAACTCGAAGCCAGGACCGAATCGGGTCGAGTGAACCGCGGCTCGATGGTTGCAAAACACGGAACTGCATCTTAAGCTGTTTGGCCTACCCCAGAAGGCTGAACTAGTACTGAACTCATTCTCAAATACCCACAAGAAATCAACTGCCAATAAAAGTGTCAGCTCTGCAACATACCGTCTTCCCTTGCTTTTACAAAAGGAATAAACCATCTGTTCAGGTGCTACAACTTATTTTCCTAACAAATATCGCCTACTTAGAAAGCATTACCTGAAAGGAAATATGCGATTTTCAAAAAATGTCAAATCCATGCCCTTTTTAAATTATTTGTACTGATCTATGTGTGCTCTAATATGCTTCGTTCTTAAAAACATCCCAAGGAGATGAGAGGCTTGGAAAACCTTCCCTAGCGTGTTTGAAGTCGGCAGCCAGGCCACCTGGACTAGATGGAAGCCAATCTCCAGACCTAACTGTACCCTGTGAATGCAGCAACCCAAACACCGTCCCAACGCCATTGTTCAGTGATGTTCGTAATGCCGTCGAGAAAGGTGCCAGCAGATCCATTCCCGAATAATGTTGACCCATATCAAGGCGCACACTTCTAAACTATGCATTTCCTACTGAAGCCAGAATCTTTCAAATAATGAACCTTGCCCATATAAGCATACGTCATTATGAGTAGATTTTAAAAAGTGCGTTGTCTTGTAAGTTTACCATGTTGTCTTTTTCCACGATTTCATAGACTACGCTATTGCCTAGGAGGTAAGCACGGTGAGTATGCCTTCGAATTTAGCCTTTTCAAGATAGACAGCTAAACGTCAGCTGAACCGTTGTAGTCCAACGAGATTTATATGGCGAATACACTGTCAGATTAGACAATTAACTGCAGACGGCTGCAAAATGAAAGTGAGTAGCAACTATGTAAGCATGGATTTCAAGGAGTGGTGGTGATGGTGGTGGTGTCGGCGGTGGTGGTGATGGTGTCGGCGGCGGCGGTGGTGGTGGCGGCGGTGATGGTGTTGATTGTGGTAGTGATGGCGCTGGTGGTGGTGGTGGCGGTGGTTTTATCTTCGTCTTGCCATCTATACTCCGGGCCCAAAAGGAGTGTCCCTTTTTCCTCTTGCTCACTGACCATATCGGTGACGTCATTCTCACAAGACGGTGACTACTTCCGAAAGCAGATTTACGGTCCACGCGTCCCTGTGTAAAGCAGCAAAGAATTCAGCCCCCAATACCTGCTCGGAGAAGGCGTCCACTTAGAGGCTTTTAAGACCGCTGGACGCATACACGCATCGTCTGACGTCTGCAGACCTGGCAGGCCAGCTAGAAAAAAATGTCAACAATTCCTGGTATAATCCGTCCTTTCTTCGGCGTCTGGATATCTGCTCACAGCAATGTGAAAGTGCTTTCACAAAACAAACGGATCAAGACAGATTAGTGAAACCGACCAACCAGGCCGCACATGTGCGTTCCCAGTGCCTGCATTTCCGTTTGTGGTGTCGATTGGGATGGTGCTCGTCGTGCCATATAGGAGGTTCTACTCCGTAAAACTGATGGAAGTTGTCGCTTTCTAATTTTCTCAGAAATTATCTACGAAGTTGGAGTAGATCAATTTATTCAAGGTCTGTGGGCTCAGACCGCGAATTTTATGTATGAATATTTGGGCCAAAGTCCATCAGCCACAGCGGGTAACCGCGTAATATTCATTAACGGTCGACAGACAGTTAGTGCTATACTTTAGGTAAGGTAATACCATACTAACAGCACAGGTACTAGCCAAAAGCCCATACACGGGTGTTTCGCCGATATTCTGCCGCTGCATGGCGTAGCTGCGAGGGGTTCGGCTCGCCAGCATTCCCCGTGTGTTTTCTGGGCGACCCACTGACGAGCCGAAGCCTCCGTAGCTGCGCCATGCGGCGGCAGAATATCGGCGAAACACCCGGTTTTTGACTAATACCTGTGCTGTTATTATGGTATCACCTTACTGATGGCAATACTGAAGGGTGCGCCGGGGGTGCCCATTTGGGCGTGTTGTCATAACGGTGGATCCAACGCATGTCCTGGCTGGCAGCTGTCAATGTGGGTGTTTGGTGGGTGCCAGGTGTTTACAACGTTGGTCCGTGGAAATCGGAATTTGTTCCCCTCCATCTTCGCAGTGGCTTGCTCTAGGCGATGAGGTTCTTAGGTTACCGCTGCAGTTCTCGTGACAGTGCGCCAGGCACCATAACTGTTTTCCGACTGTTTAAGGGATGCTCTCAATATGTCCTTGTAGCTGCATGTTTGTCCGCAAACAACTGTAGCAGCATCACGGTAGAGTAGTCGCTCGAGCACACATTCGTTAAGTATCCTCCCGATGTGGATGATTCATCGCACTTCTGTTTACCTCGGCATGACAAGATTGCTGAGGAATTTCGTTGCTTCCAGCATCTCCGAAACTGGGATCTTCCCTTGCCCATTAAAATCCATTATTCTCTCGAGACAGCAGAGGAGAGAGTGTTCGATTCTCCCCACCTGACTCATGTCTCCAGCCCGTACAGGAGCGTTTTCCGGACAACGACTGTGTAGCTTCCAGGTCATCAAGATTCTTGAAATCGCATTTCTCAGGCGAACAAAGCTGTCCACAAACGTGAAACGAGTTCCATTCACGCGGATCCTGGGTGCGTTGTATCCATAGGTTGGCGCAGATTTATGCATGGCCACCGTCTTCTCCGCGTTGATGGTCCGTCAAGAGTTTGTGCAGCCGGATATAAATGCACGTCTACCTCAGTTGTGCTATTTGGCACACAGTTATCCGTGAGCAAGTTGTCTTGGAAGCTAGCTACGGGGCCACCTGAGGATGCCTGCATACGACTCGCTTTGAGCAGTTGTTCGTTGGTCACGCAGGTAATGCCGATTCCCGGCCGCTCGTCACGGTAGGCGTCGACTAGCAGGACCGCGAACACGAGAGTGGGTGCGAGTACACAGCCCAGCTTCAACCAATTTCTTACCTTGAAGACTTCCAAGAATGCCTCGTTGTCCAAGACGTGGGCTGCCATTCTATCTTGTAGTCGTCGAACCATCCGCACTAAACGCTCTGGGCAGTCGAACTGCAGCATACTTTTTCAGAGTCCATCGTACGTGACGGCATGGAAGTTCTTTATCGAATCTGTAAAAGCCATGTGGTGCTTGATCCTAATTTTCTGACATTTCTGCAGCAGTTGGTGGACAGAGAAAATAATGTTGATGGTTCCGTTGGTCATCCGAAATCCCACAGTCATTCTTCTCGGGGAAGGGTTATTGCTTTGAGCGAAGATTCAAACGAGGGTCTATGACACGGGAAGATGTTTTCCTGCGATCTTGTGTGGGGAGACAGCTCCTTCCAGTTGCATCTGTACCGGGGAACGATGCTGGGGATCTTGAAGTAATGGGAGTTTTGTCTTTCTTTCCTCATCTCCTTTAACACTGATTTGGTTTTGCTCATGAGGTGAGATGTAAATTACACCTTGAAGCGAATCAGCGTCTGGTGCTTTACGATGGACATCTGCTGAACAGCGTTGATAATTTCTTGCATCGAGGGCAGACAGTTGAGGAGGGCTTTGGTCTTCAGTTGAAGGAGTCACACAGTGGCTTTTGGGGGGCATTGTGGATGGTCGATTGAGGAACCCTACTAGTGGTCTGTCCAAGATGAAGCAGCAAGAGTATGGTTTATGGGCAACAATATATTCTGTATCATTTTTCTTGAACAATTCTAGATTTTTCACGACAAGCCAGTTTTTTCTGATCCCTAGTCGTTGTTGCTCACGCATGCGGCGCATTCAATACCCAATTTTAGCGTCCACCGATGTCGCGTACGACCGCCTTGGATCCCAAGCAAGCACCAAAGCTGTACTGCTCCGAATGGGGTGATAAAGGATGCCCTATTAAAACCCGAAATTTACCGGTTATGGCTAATTTATATGTCTCTTCTATCGCATGGTTCAAAAGTAAGCACTTTTATTCGCTGAACGTACAACAACCAGGGGAGAAGCTTCATGAGTAAGCTTCGGAAAGACATCATTGTCCACCTCTTTGGTGAAGGACTGAAAAGACCACTCCCAGCTGATTTACTTTCATTATCCTGCTACTATATTTAAACCACTGACTTGCGAAGACGCCGTACTCGGCCCCACCGCATGAACCAAGTGCCCTGATGCCAACCCCGATTATTCCCGCTTAGGGTGTGAGTATATCCTGCTGACAGTGATGAACATTTCAGTGATTAAACTCGAGTCTTCCAGCGGGGCCTCGTAGCTCAGGTGGTTAGAGCGTTGGCTGTACTAAAGCCTTCCCCTTACTGCGTGGGTTCGAATCCCACCGAGGCACCGAGTTTTTCACAGTTGGGTCAATATGAATTATTCAAAATCTGCCAAAACATCTATGCATTTCAGTTTCCTTTGGGATACTTCGATTACATGTTTTGACTGCCGGTTGTTCTCAGCTGGTCCATCGTTCACACCAGCCCTAGATTCGAATGCCAACGGAAAGGGAAGTATTCCACGGTCCGTTCCACACTCAGGCTGTAGCGGTCCAACGCAAATATCATCGTAGACAAAAATGAGATATCTGTAATCGAGTGAGTGGGTAAGAAAAAGATTGTGTCTCAGGAGCTCATAGAAACAATTATCTCGCAGCCGTTACGACATTTACTCAAAGTGCTGCCAGCTACAAAAGTCTATTTCGGGAAATCCTCTCCTTCAGTGGCCATAACGCACACACACATGATTTTGAAGAATTCTCCCTAGGACATGACCCATGCCATTGTACCAGGCTTAACAACAAGGACAGGTAGGATTTTTGCGGGTTACCACAGCGAAGAAAGAGCTCCCGTTTTGAAAATTGAACGAGCATGGTTGGAATGTAATTAGCGGCGTTTAAAAGTGCTCGTATTGAGGACCGCGGATGTGTGGGAAACTAAAGTGCAATAACCGTTAAGCATTGACTGAAGATGCGTAAAAGTACTTTTTTTGCTAGATGTGGCAATCGAACTGCCTACTCGAAATGGCGGCCATTTAGCTTGTAATCGGCGCCTACCTGACATGAAACGATGCCTTCCTGCCGACTGTTTTCTCAGTCAGTATTCCATTGACGCAAGCCTAACTTATTTAAGTAGGTCACATGCATGCAAGCTAAAATTCCGCCATTGATGACATAAAACAACTCAGCAAATTGCAAGGACATCGTTTATGGCCGGGGTTAATTAATCTGAAGAGCAAATGTGCTAAAAGAAAATAACTGGTGATGTTTATTTGTACATGCCAAAGGAAGAAATAAAGAGACCTCGCGGGGGCTGTTGCGTGAGGGTGGTCAAGGTGCTTTAAGGTAGTCATAGGATTAAAAATGCGACAGTACCTTTTTGACGGTGCCTGCCAAAGGCCACTAACTTCACTTACCATTATCATTAAATGGTAAAATTGTGTCCCCTTCTAATTAGTGACAATATGAAGGATCAACATTTGTGACACACAAAGTTCTTAGATGACTAGCTCTTTTGCTCAACACAACTGCTGCCCGGAGTAGAGAAATGCGACCATAAACCATACTCTTGCCGATTGGTCCGATGGAACCCAGTAGCGGTATTGTCCCATTGGCTGCAATTTCACTAGGAGCCGCAGACCGTACGCGACGAAGTTCTTCATTTTAACTTCTGTCTGCATCATTAGGCTTCCACATCGAAATAAAGCCTCTTTGATGACCCTGCTCATTTGGTTGATGTAAATCATCTGTCTTCCATCCTGTCCGGAGTGCATGCTGACTGCGGTAAGATGTGCTGCCCCACCTCGCGGGCAGAATACTGTTGGGGTTGGGGTTATGGTTAGGGGCTAGGGTTAGAGGTTAGGGCAACTATTTCTCAACCACTCAAAGTACAACCGCGGATTCCCAATAGCTTTTCTTTTGCATACGGCTACTTGACCTCATCGCCTGTGCGTTCCCCCGTCCCACTCGTAAAAACCCCCTATTACCACCCAGTCCCGTATTACAGGTGGCTGGGGTTTGTTTACTTCAGGTGGGGTCACATAACCACATCTGACCCAGACTGCATATTTCCTTATCGTTGGCATCGAACCATTTTCGATCCCGACGGCGTTCGCTACAGAGTAGTGAAGTGGACGTCATTCT